AAAAAAAAAAAGGGAAGATTTTGTGTTTTTGTTCGAGATTTTGAAAACCCACAATGCAAAAACAGGAATCGGTGTTTATGTTTATATAGATGGGAGATTAAACTGAAAAATTAAAGCAGTTTTCAAGAATATATGGTTTGAATTGTTTTGATAATATTTTAGAATGGAAACGGAATTGGTACGGCAAGAAAATTTAATGGGGTTATGCCCTTATAATATAGAAGAAGAGTCAACAGGATTAACATGAGGTGAGGTGACACTTTGGAATGCAATAATGGGATTAAGCCAATGGACCTCTCTCTCTCTCTCTCTCTCTTGTATATATGTATTGTATATATATTTACGTGTGTGTGGTGTGTCAAGGTCGGATAGGTGGAGGGTCCTTATCCATGGGTGAGGGGAGTGGAGTGGGGTGGGGTGGGGTTCAATTATATTATATAAGATAAATTCCTTTAGGGGTCCCTAATCTTTCGTTTGTGACTTTCTTGTTACCAACTTTTTAACATTATGTACTTGGCATCCTACCTAACCGAAAATATCAATTTAGACGTCAAGTGTCCATCCTTGCATGTGTTGTCTGACTGAAAGAGTAAAATTATCTAAAAAAATATTCCTTTATTCCAAACACTTAACCGATATATTTCAAATTACTAAGCCTCTGCTTGGACTCCGCGAAAAACAAAATTTTGAAAAAATGTATTTTGGAAGTGATTTTTTAAAAAATGTATGATTAAATAAAGAAAAAATTTTGAATTTACGTATAATATTATTTTATTGGAGAATACGTGATTGAATAAAATGAAGTCCAAATAGGGGCTACACGTTTCTCTACCGACGTTTACCCTTTTAGTCAAACATAATGTTCATGATGTGTGGCTATTTAACTATTAAATGGATTTCTCCCATTAAAAGGTTGGGGTGCATAGTTTCGTAAATTGAAATTTGAAATATGATTGTCACACTTGTAAAAGGTTGAGGACCTCAAAGGAATTTACCTTGATGATCCTTTATCCATTAGGTGGGGTGACGTGTCTATAACTTTTTGGGTGGTGCAAAAGGGCATGGACGATCTTATCCGACCCTTCGGAATGGTCCTAATCAGACAAAACAATTGGGAGGTTTCTGTTGAGAGCCTCAACTTCAAATTATTTTCATTTAGATCCCTAAAGAATTTTCTTTCTTTTAAAGTTCCTTAAAATTCCTGTAGATTTAGCATTTAAGTCCTTATTCTTTCTACTCTTGAATTTGGATTGGAGCTTTTGTAATCCACCTATCTTATTAATATTCCAAATTTTTTGAAGAAGCTCTGGTATCTCGTCAATGTCTATAGTTTTATTTAAATATTGAAGATACATATGAAGCATTATAATATTGAAGAAAAAAATATTTTATTCATTGTCATGTACAGCATTATTGGTATTGTTCTCGAACTCTAATTCTGTCAAACTATTTATAATTATTATAATTTTACCAAATAAACTTTAAGATTTTATAAGTTTTAATAGAGCTTACAAGTACAAACTTTTTATTATAAGTACTTTGATTTTTATTTTTATTTTTTTGACCCAAAAAAACTCTTTACTCTTGGGCAAAATAGTTTTACATAACATTTTCTCAAAAAATGTCCAACTCATAATATTCTTGTTCAAATGCTCATTTACTAAGTGAATATTTAGGCAAAAATATTACAATAAATATCATCCCATGATGATTGATTATTAACTATACTTTAATTAAAACTAACTTTAGTAACCCCAAAAATCAATCCCTATTTGGATTGCAAGCTGCAACTCGTCTGCAACCTGTAACTCCCCAAAAATTATCATTAAGTCGGAATCGTTGTTTGATCCTTGAGCCCTTCTTGGCGTCTTCAAACTCTAATATTTTGTAGGGATAAAAAGTGATAGAATACAAATTATTTACCTTTTTTTTATTAAAAAAATTATTATTGATATGAAAACTAATTATTTTGTGAAAAACTAAGAGCTTGTTTGTGAGGAATTAAAATCCAATTAAAATTAAAAATATAGCTTTATTGGGTCTCACTCGTCTAATAAAAATCAATTCTAACGACTAGTTTTTCAATTTTAATCTAATTTTAATC